GTGTGTGTGTGTGTGTGTGTGTGTGTGTGTGTGTGTGTGTGTGTGTGTGTGTGTGTGTGTGTGTGTGTGTGTTTGTGTGTTCAGGGCGGTTTCAGGGAGAGCGAGTGGAGCATCTCCGACACTCTGAGTTGATGGATGACTACATGGAACCCAGACAGCTCTGGACCACCAGAGATGTTGCAATACGAGTCCACAGCAGCTTCAGGTCTGCAGACACACACATACACATAGAATGGGTTACATTAACACTGGCAGCTGGAGCTAGCTGCAGCAGCTGTTTCAAACTGTTATGTATCTTATACATGTCTACTCAGCCAATCACATGGCAGCAAACGAATGCATTTAGATATGTAGACATGATTAAGACAAACTGCTGAAGTTCAGACTGAGCATCAGAATGAAGAAGAAAAGTGATTTAAGTGACTTCAAGTGCAGCGTGGTTCTTAGTACCTGACAGACTGGTCTGAGTATGATAGTATAGTATGTATTAGTGACAGCCTGGCAGGCTCAGAATTTAAAATCATGGACCCCTCCTTGCTTATATCAAAGGTTCAGCTGGGCTGGGTATGATGGAGTAATGGTATGTGGGCAAACTTTGGGCCCTTTAGTACCAACCAAGCATCATTTAAACATGGCTTTATCACCACAGTGCACCTGTATTCCAGTGGCTGCTTCCAGCAGAATAATGCACCATGTCACAAAGCTCAGATCATCTCAAACTAGTTTCTTAAATATGAGTTCATTGTATTCAAATACCCTTCACAGTCACCAGATCTCAAACCAAAAGAGCACCTGGAATAGGAAATGTGCACCAGCATGTCATCATGGACCAGAATGTTTCCTCCACCTTGTTGAATAATGCCACAAAGAATTCAGAAAGTTCAGAAGGCAAAAGGGGTTCTAACCCTCTACTAGCAAGGTGTAACTAATGAAGTGGCTGGTGAACGTACATCTGATATAAAATATTTCACATACTATGCCACCATACTGCAGTGGTCCTAAATACACCAATTCAGCAGTTCTTTTCTCTTGTTTTGTCACAGAGAAACAAAGACATCAATTTCAATGAGTAGCATGAGTAGCTGCCATGAAACCAGTTTAACATGGTCCTGTGGTGTGATCTCCACCTGCAGGGTGATAGGTCTGTTCTGCCACGGTTTTCTGGCCGGCTTCGCAGTGTGGAACATCATTGTTGTGTATGTCTTAGCGGGCGAGCAGATGACCACGCTCCCTAACCTGTTGCAGCAGTACCACCTGCTGGCCTACCCAGCTCAGTCTCTGCTCTACCTGCTGCTGGCCATCAGCACTGTGTCTGCATTTGACAGGTTTGTGAGTTTAATAACTCAGAAGTCTACCTCTACAGTCTCATTGAGAAGCGGAGGTGGAACCCATGTCATTGTTTAAGCTACTTAAAGGAGTGCGGTTCAGTTTGTGGCCTTTATCAATGTCATATTAATTATCTTTGAAGAATCTTTAATTATTCAACTTATGCATTTTTACATTATATCTTTCAGCTCTTATTGTTTTAATTGCAATGTTCTTGTTTCATTCACTGCTCTTGTAATTTGAAAGAAATTAAGAATCTGCACTTGGTGGAAACATGTACTGGAGACCTGTATTTCCACCAACAATTGAAAGAAATAGTCTCATAATTGTCCAAATTCCCGCTGGACAGGAATTGTTGACTTGAATAAATAAGAAGGTGAAAAGTAACAGCTTTGCTGTTTTGCATCATCTGCAGAGTGAACCTGGCCAAGGCCTCCATGGCCCTGAGAGGCTTCCTCACCCTGGATCCTGTCGCTCTGGCTTCCTTCTGTAAGTAAGACAAGACAAAAGCAGAATGATGAGGATGTTGATGTTAAGGCCTTAATGTGGTTAAGGACTATGCAGTCCTGTAAAAAACTAGATACACCTTTACTCCCTCCATAGAAATTACAAGAGTAAGTAGGACCCAGGTACTGCTAATCAAATGCACCTGATTAATTCAATTATATAAAGGCTTTAGCAATTTGCTGGTCTGTCATTCCAAAGTCTTCTTTCCAGGAGTGGACATAGCTCCAAATCCCCCCCATGGTCAGACTGTGCAGTTAAAAATTGCAGGAAAACCAAGAGCTACATCTCAGTGTTCTCCTAGCAAACTTAAGAAGTAAAAGTAAAGTTTGCCAGGAGGAAACCTCTTTTTCTCTTAAAAGGACATGGCAGCATGGCTTGGGTTAGCAAAGTTACATGTGAACAAACCACAAGACCTCTGGAACAAGACAAAGTGGAGATGTTTGGCCATAATACAAAGGACAGTTTAGAGAAAACCAAACACAGTATCAGCACAAATACCTCATGCTAACTGTCAAGCACAGTGGTGGAAGGATATTGAGCTGGGCTTGTTTTGTAGCGTCATGATCTGGACACCTTGTACTAATGGAGTCAACCATGAACGCCTCTGCATATCAAAGTATTCAAAAGTGAAGTCGTCTGTCTGACAGGTAATATTTGGCTTACCCTGGGTCATGTAAAAGAACAATGATCGCCAGCTTGGCAGCAAATTCAAACCTCATTCGCGCTTAAATCCTGTGGGGCTTTATAGAGGTGCGCATGAACAAATGCCTGCAAATTTGAAAGATCCAAGGTTTAAAGAAGGGTGGGCCAAAATTCCTCCACAACAATGTTAGAGACTGATAAAGTCATTCAGAAAGCAATTACTCATTGTAAGGCTAGTTAAGGTAGATCTAAAGCTAATGAATTGTGAACCTAGGCATGTTGGACCTGGTCATTTTTTATTTTCTTACTGGTTTTTCACAGGATCTCATAGAAAACTGAAAAAACTTTCTTTTTTAAATGCCTGTAATTATCCAAACACCTTCTCTCTTTGTGTGCTCAGTGTATTTTATAGCCCTGATCCTGTCCCTCAGCCAGCAAATGGCCAGCGATCGCATCAACCTGTATCCCACTGCCAATGAGACTCTGTGGTGAGTTTTTTTTTTTTTTTTCATTTTTATAAGTCAACATTTTTAGAAAAGCAAAGAGGAAAACAGATGAAAGCAATACTTTCCACAAAAAGTTCAAGGTTGACATGGCAACTGAATTTAAAAACTGATAGGAGCTTAAAGGGCTAAAAGGAAATATCTGATGCAGGATGGTTTAAAAGCAGGTGTTTTACATTTACATTATATACAATACTTTATTAGTATTTCTGTGGTTCTAGTAGAACACTAAATGTGTATGAGAAGTTTATTTTTAGCCATTTTTAGCCATTTTCAGGCAATTGTAGTCAAATGTTGTTTTTTCCCATGATGAAGCTAATTTGAATATCTTTCTATATACTGAGTAATACTTACATTTTAATTGTATGGCAGATTTAAAAACAAAACTCTTTTAAAAACCAAAAGTATCCAGAAAACATTCACACATTTCCACATAAAAGGAATATCTTCCTTTTAACAACACTGAGACCTGAGGCACCATTGCCAAAGACTTTTAAGAGGCTAATGCATTTCCTTTATTAAACTTAACTTGGAGAATCTCGGAGTTCTGCTATTTTCTCCTTACCATGGCTGGAAAACCCTCCTGAGGACTCAATCTTGACATGGAATGGTAAAATAATAACTGCTATTTAACCCCTCATGTCCTGCAGGCCTCCTGGTTCAGAGCAGCAGATCCTGCGGCCGTGGATTGTGGTGAACCTGGTGGTGGCGCTGTTGGTAGGCGTGGCCTGGGCCGTCGTCTCCACACGACCGGACATCGACTACACAGAAGGCAAGTTTAGCTAAAAGTAACCTGATACGACTTGAGACATTCCATCATCCAGTGATAAAGTAACCAAATGTAGTTAAGTACAGTTCTCTGGTCTTTTGCATTACTTGTACAAAAATACACTATTGCTCATAACAAATATGTATTCCTTTTAAGCTACAAAACCTTTTTTTTATAGAAAATGAAATGTAAAAATCACACAGAGGGATATTACTTAACTTTGGGGACACCTTCTTGAGCAAACAGGAAACATTAATGATACTTCAAATCCTGTGGAAACAGTGAAATAAACTAAAAACATGGTAATAAAACTACAATAACAGAAATCGTAAAAGGCTTCTGTGGGATTTGCCAGGTGTTTTGGCCACACAGCACACGCACATGGAGTGTCTTGGACTCCAAATACACAATACACCAGGTAGCCTGAAGGATTAATGACACGTCACTTTTTTTCTTTTTCTTTTTTCATTTAAATGTAGCTGTACAAAGTATAAAAGTAATACTTTTGATGCATTGCTGTGTTCCAGGTGTCATTCTTTATATCACCACTAGATAGAAGCAAAGTGAAACATGTTCAAACCCTAAAAACACGAGGCAGACATTCACATGTCATCAAGCCAGTGTGTGCGCACTTTGTAGAAATGTAAGCTGATGGTCTGGATTTCCTTTTGCAGAGTTTTTGATGACAATGGAAGTGGAGGGATACCCGAGAGGAGATGAGAACCTGGAGATTCCGGCCTGAAAACCTTCTCTCTCACTGTGTCTGTTTTACTAATTTCATTTATGTTTTTGTATAATGTAGCTTTGTGTTTGAACTGATTTTGCAAATAAACTAATAAAGGCTATATGGTGATAGGTGGTTACTGGATACTTCTGCAGGGGAATAAGCGCCAGAAGAGCATAAAATACTTTCTGGTGTTTGTACTCCACTTGTAAACATTGTTTGTATTATTTTCATTCCTCTATTTTTGCTTATGGTCGTTTGCACCTTTTAGCAGTTTTGTCTGTCATTTTGTGTGTCTGTTGTGTTTTGTGTTCTCATCACTTTGCAGTTTTTGTGTCTTTGTGTGTTTTCTGTTTGTGGTCATTTTACCCATTTTGCCTGTACCAATTTGTATACACAACAGCATTTTTTATCCTGTGTGTTGTAATTGGGAAGTCACTTTGCATGTCTTTGGATGTATCTGTAGCCATCCTTTTGTGTATCCGTTTGATGTCATTTTGTGTGCCTTGTTTGTTTGTAGCTGTTTTATAAGTCATTGTAATATTTCCGAGCTCTTTTTGCCGTCATCATTTGGATCACCTCCTGCATGTATTTCATAACAGTTTGTAGTCGTTTCCGAGATGTTTTGCGTGACTTATTAACATTCAGTAAAAATAGGGTTAAACAGTCAAACGAAACAATATCATGGCCCCACCTTACGACTGTGGGCTCTACACTTGTGCCTGGTAGTCCCTCAGAGCACTCCCACTCGCCCACTTTTCTTCATGCCATCACAATAATGAGATTTCCGCACAGCCCCTGAAGGCGTTAGGATCCATCCAGTCAGCGCGCGCTGCAGCCGTGTAGTAAAAGCCATGTAAAAATGGCGGAACTGCAGATGCTGCTGGAGGAGGAAATTCCTGCGGGACGAAGAGCGTTGTTGGACAGTTTTACCAACCTGGAAAGAGTCGCGGAGTACTGCGAAAGCAACTATGTCCAGGTACATGCTCATATTTAAGCAGCAAGTGTATAAGTTGGGTGAAATGACACATCGAGGTAATGTCAGTTGGGAGTAGGCGGTTTGGATAGAGGAGTGATGGAATGACCGTGCCAGATTCCGTTATGTTACCCGTGGCTTTTATGTAAAGGGGAAAAGTCACAGCGAATTCAATACAAACACTGACCCGCTGATGCCTGAATAGGAAGGTTGTCAGGGTCAATTCGGGTTTTTTTTAAAAATATCCTCAAACACATCTTTACTAGTGAAAAATCAACTTTTGCAAGTGGTTTGCGCAGCACCGTGTTGTTTTCTGATTGAGCGTGACTCCGTGGGAATGTGATGGGTGGATTTTGGTTCGTTTTAAAAGTTTGCTTTAACCGAATTAAGTTTGAATATGTTCACTGAATGGGTGCCGAATTAATTGTCGAGTTGCGTTTTTATAGTAAAATGTCTCTTGCAAAGTTTGTGATGTTTATGTAAGCAGAGATGCGTTAATGGGAGTCTGGCGCGACGCTTAACTGGTATGTGATTGTGGCCGATAACTTAAATAGCTGCTGAGATTTATGATTTACTTTTAATGCTATTCGTCTGATGATTTAAACAAAATCTATAAACAGTTTGTTTTTATTTATTTATTTTCATCAAATGATAACCGGCAGAATTAAGGGAATCTGAAGATAATTGTTCGTTTCAGTCCTGATTAATCATTGTTTCAATTTGCCATTAAAGTGGCAAATACTGCTGTTATGACAAATAAATGTATCAGATTAATCTTTAGTATTATCCATTATAGAGTCCGTTTGTCCTTGAAGATGCAGCTAATGATTAATATCCTCGATGATTGACCTGGCAGCTTTTTCTTGATACAAATTATGCTTTTTTTATGCTGTTACAGTGGTTGATGCTCATATTAACATGGCCAAAGTTTCAGAACATTAGGTCCATGTATGTTCAAAACATACTTTAGAGTGCTCGAAATGCTCTGTTTCAGACACTTTCTTCTCCTCTTTGCTCTGTATGACGTCAGTGACGGAGATCCCAAATATGGTCATGTCAGACTCACAACTCTAGGCTAATTTATGCAAATATGACATGGAGGAAAAGGGGTTTGCATTTATTGCTCTTTCCATCATTGATGGAATCAGATGACGTATGCGTCAAGTGGGCATTGTGAAGGGAAGGGGACAAGAGTGGATCTTCTCTGTGGTTGGCAAATAGACCAACAACACCACAAGCAAGACCTGTTCTATCACATACTTTGTACACTGTTTTTATCTGACATTAAGCATGCAGGCTGCAAATGTGAACCATGATTTTTGTTTCTGGCTGTAAGCACTTAAGGCCCACCACCTGCTTTTCAAACCATGGATGGTCTAAAAGATGGACATAGCCACCATTATGCCACCTGTTGGTTTGTGAAGTCTTATTTTTGAATGTTCAAGCTGATGTCTCCCCC